AAATGTGCACATACACCTCTCTGTTCAAAGTAACTACCAGAATCTTATTATTCACAGCCTCTTTCAAAGTAACTACATAGAGATAAATAATAGGCTTCAAGCCTGCATTGCATTAAGCCCTGAATCCTTTTCTTAGGTAAATACTACAACTGGCCTTCATTGGTTTTGATCAAAACTCAATCTCTATCTCATGTTAAAGCTAATAATAAAGCAAACACGTCACTGAATTCATTGGGAACTACCAAGCAAGAATGGTAAATTCCTTTTCATATTAGTGCCAAAACCTGTGATATGAAATTAAATAATAATAATAATATGTAAAGAACTTCTCAGGTGTGAAAAAGTGCCTACACCTGACTATGCTTTCTGCTTTGCACCACCTGTCAATTCCAAGCACAAATGCTGCCAGTTATGTAGCTAGATACTTCATTTGCCTCACTAGTCATGTTACTTGCCACTCAAGTCAGCAATATTCATCTGCCAAATGCTGGAACAAAAGCATGTCTGCAAAACACAGAAACTCGGTTTGAAAAATCTGCCTTTAAATGATTAAGTAGACAATATAGTGGAGCTGAGGTTATTGATAGTGGTGGAGAATTCTAATGGTGGCACCACCAAAACAAGTTTTTACCGTTCTTCTCCTCTTCTGAAGACAGACATGATTTTATGATATTTTTAAAGATGCCAGGCATCTTGACAGTCCTTGCCTAAAAATTTAAGTAAGTAATAATCATGCAAGAGTTTAGGAGGAATGGAGAATGAGACTTTTGCCGTAGAAACTTTGCTAGTCAATATGCAAAATGATAACAATGTGTTATTTCTGCCACCACTGAAGACCGAGATGCATGTCCTGTGTTCGGCCAGAACAAATGAAGTTCCTTTCATTGGCACAATGGGATCCCAAAGCATGCAGCAGCCTGCTGCTAAGCACACACATTGAACATGCAGGTCTCCTGGGCTCGGTCTCCTGACATGCTAAAATGAAAAAAGATCAGAGTCGTTACCTCCAGCTGCTCCGGAAGAGTGGAGAGGGCTGCAGGAGGTTGAAGAAGTTCCAGCTGAAAGAACAGGTGATTTCAAGGAGCAAGGAGGCTTTCGTAAGGGAGCCTGTTATCACTGAACTATGTAGAGCAAAATAGGCTTTGAGTTCTTTCCTCTCAGGGCACAGACAGGTTGAGCTTGCAGCCATCCTTCTGGCTTGAAATTCAAATTACGCCTGAAAGGCCCTGGCATTTTTCTCCCACACTTGCGTTTTATAGCAAAATAGCAACCAAATCCACTACCTTCTTATTTTGTTATGTAATTATTTGATTTTAGCAGGAAGAAGGTAACTCAGGCATGCATTGCTAACTATCTCCATGCAGGAAGAGTAAATGTATGATATCATTGAATAATAAATAAAAGGATAGTATGACAACTGGTCTCTACAGCACAGTCATAAACAAAACATGAGACAAAAACACTGAAATTTGATTCTTGTCCCTATCCTTAGCAGTAGAGGATTCATGGTGGAAATCTCTCTAAGAACTGGGTAAAAAAGCGGCTTGGAACATCCTGAAATCAAAATGGACCTTCCCTAAAAGAGCGTGAGTTGCCAGTGAACATGGAAATGACTACACAGGCCAGGTCTGGCCTTTATCAGTATTCATCAGTGAGATAGGACATGACAGAACCAGGCAGCCTTATTCCATCAGCATCTGCTTGGGAGCTGCATAGATCATCCAGATTTCATTTTAATATTTGCAATGCTTTCAATGTAAACCACTATTTTCTCACCTGAAAAGAATTACATCTAGTATGTCTGGAGACAGAGATACCAGAAGTCCTGTGCTGCAGCCTACAATGATGGCACAGGAGGCCAAAAGACAAAAAGAATGAAACACCATGAAGATAACTTCTTCAGCAGCAAATGCAGAGATAGAAATTTGAACATCAGTGGTGCTTCTATAATGAGCAGAAAAACTGCAGAAGTGGTTTTGAGGTGGTCAATGAAACCAAAGTAACAATTTCAACAGGGTTCTCTACAGGAGATGGGTGATGATTGTGCAACAAGCAGTGTGAGCGATGATGAAGCTGCCCAACTGCTTGTCACGAAGAGAACAAGTCCAGAGAGGGCCTCACTCTCAACAGTGGGCATTTAATTCTTCAGATAGGATAGTACATAACGTGGAAATTACAAAATCGGGATGAGATATTAACTGCGCAACAGCCTAGACTCTGAGTCTGGACTTGAGATTTTAAGTGTAGCATAGCTGGGGGAAAGAGTAGGAGGTGGCCAACAGCCATGAGATGAGTATTGCAATCAAGGCTATTGCCTAGATAACTACCAGTGATTCATTTTTATTTTTCCAAGTCATCATTTTATTGTGTTTCTCCACCCCACCACCACAGCATATAAATTCTATCTGGATTTATTGACTGCCAATACAAGTTATACTCCCACTTTTCTGGTTAAGGGTTTGGCCCAGTGTTCTTTAAATATTCAGTAATGGGCTTCAGAAATTGAATACGGCCCTTTTTTGACAGGCAGACGTGGCACAAGGGCTGCAGTACCACCTGTCTTGGAAAATATTATGAAAGTGCAAAGTTAAAAATCATTACTGCGGTCAAACAGTTGGAGTCTGAAGTCTCCAAGGAGAGCAAAGATTGCAAGAATGGAGCATATTGAAAAAAGATCATTAATAAAATTGGACTTTGGTTATTAGAGCATTGTTTGTCTTCTCTCCAAAGGAAAACCAAAAGATGGCAAAAAAGACTCTCTTATCCAGAAGTGATCCTTAAACTTAAAACACTGGAAGAAATTATTTATTTAGATACCTGCTGTGCTCCGCTAGAAAGTCTTTGATAAACTGGTATCATTGTTTATTCTATTATTGCTGATGAAAGCTATTTGATTATAGCTGTAAAAATATCTCTATAAAATCTTAAATAAAAACACATGTTGTGGCAGAGGCCTTTAGAAATAAAAAGCATTTTAAACATACTTTGAAGACAGACTAATTCCATTGTTTTCTTTTAAGCTGAAAGGGGAAGTACTACGTTGTTCCAAGGCTGGAGAGGCAGATAAATTATTTACCAGTAATTAGGATTCTTGCTATTCCATACTTCTATCTATATATACAGCAGAGTGACCCTACCCACTAGAAGAAAAACGCGATTGTCCCCGGTTCTCCATGAATGTTTCAGTCAGGGACAGTATTATTCACACATATTTTGGTGAGTCAGATTATTCTGGTTTGTATTAAATAAAGAATCTAGGAGAGGTCGCATAGTGCAAGGTGGTGCCATGAAAAGGAAAGCAGCTTTTGACAGCTGCAAAACATCTTCTGAGAGCCAATAAAGTGGCTAGATTCACAAGTCAAGGCACAAAGCATAGCAACCACCAGCAAGGCTGTTTGCTTCTCCTCAGAAGGAATCACAAATGCGGCTGTTTTGTTAAGAGCACACAGTCCCTAATAACTAACATGGTGAATTTGGTCAAGCAACAAAAACCCACTTTTCATCACATTCCATGGCCACTGAATGAGCACCCGAGCCAAGCTTAGTCCCCAGAGAACATTCCCAGCAAGTCCTTATGAAAATTCACCCTTTTATTCTAGGTTAGACATGCCCATAAACGGAGCCTGGCGAATTCAATCCTATTAACATGCACTTAATCATCGAGTTAGTAATCCATATTAAGTATGATCCAGGATAAAACATCTCCCACGTATTCAAAAGGAATGTGACTCATACACCCTATAGAAAGCAGACCATTAGCATAGTCGGTAAAATTTGGCACCTTGTAACCTACCTGAAATTCTATACCAGTGTTCTCTCCATGTGCCTGTAAGCAATAGGGCTACTGCTTGAGGATCCATAAGGATTATAACTTGTGGGCACGTAATATTTACCAACCAAAGTGCAGACTAAAGATATGAGACCATTATTAAAAATTAGATGCTCACTGTATTTATCATTCATTGCAAGCCTTGTACTTGCCTGCTCATTGGGAATGGAAATTGTTACAAATAATACCTGACAGCCAAATATCTCATTTTGGCACTTGTATTAACTAATCAAACGCATCTGTGTTACTAGCTTTGAAATGTAAAATTAAAATCTCCTAAAATATAAAGAGGAAGGAAAGCAGCATGCCAGTTCTCATTCCATAGACTTGTACAAGTTATGATGTTGGCTCCCATGATAAAACGTCTTTCTTTTTTCCTCTAATAGTACACAGCGTTTGTTTGCTGGAGGTTACTGTTTAATTTACATTTACATGTACCTCAGGGCTGTCATTAAAACATGATTTTTTGTACCATAAATATTACCCTATCCAAAGCAACTATACATATGTAGTCTTAATCAAATAGGAGTTTCCAAGGATCCTCAGTGTATAAAAGGCACAATTGCATCATATGGTAGAAATGCAGATGTATCTGCAATGAACTGCTGTGCGCTAGCTGGTTCAGTAGTTCACAGCAGTATTAATTCTTCATCCAGATTAATGGATCCAATTCTCAGTAACAGTATGGCCCCTTTACGCTGGCCTGCCAATACAAAGTCATCCTAAAGAGGATAAAAATACATAGAAAGAAAAACTTCTGCGCACATAGCTTCCCTCAGAGCACAGAGCTGAGGAAGTAGGATAAATTAAGACGTCCCAGAATAATCTTAGCTCAGATCAGAAACCCAGCAAGCTCCTGTTGATACCCTCAAAATGTGTGCCAAGTCAAACACATCTCAGCTATCACTGCAAGTGACAAAGAACTGTGAACCAGCCCACGGGACGGCCCTGATCGCTTACAGGACGTAAGGCTGCAAGTGCTCCGGCAGAGACTGGACAGGACTACCACGGCTGCCAGTTTTGCTCTTGCAAGAGCTCACAAGTGTGCTTCTTGAGTGACTCATGCCAAGACGGATGGTTTGTTCCAAGTTGCCACAAGGAATTAACTAGCATAGATCATCAAAGAGCATAAATTACTTAGAGCCCGAAAAGACGGCGTTTTTTCACTCACTTCTAGTAGAAGTCCACCTTCTTGTACAGCGGTCTTGTTACATACATTGTCTTCTTTTATCGTTTGGCCAGCTTGCTTCTTAAAGTGCTTTTCTTGAATGGCTGTTGGAAAGAGTTATTATCAGTTTAGAAATCATATGGATTAGGGCCACTGGACTCAAATTCTTACTTAGGCACTTAACATCCACTGGTTTAATTAGGAAATACTGTCTGGATCTCAGTTACTGACAACTTTATTTTGTTGTGAGGGAGATAGATACATACATATCTGTAAGTCCAGATGTTTTTTATATGAAATATCTATCGCACTTTTTATTATACATATTTTTTCCATTACTGTATTCTACATAAAGCAACAGCAAAAACCCACAGGAAAGAAATAAAAGATAGTTAGCAAGTTGTTTTGTTTATAAAAATATGTATTATGAAAATATAAAGAAATGCTTATATAGCTCAGAAGACAAGAGACTGAAATACGTTTCTCATTTTCAGTGCTGACCTTCTTGGCATCAGATTATTTTCAGTCTCACTGTATTCTACTCAGTCCTAGGAGTCTGAGACTGATTGCAATATTCACAGGAATGTGCTAAAACTGTTTTGTTTTGAAACAGAAGTTTAAAGTTTGGTTTTAGTAGGTCATTAATTACACGAAATTCAGGAAAATCTCTAATGATATATTTTGCAAATTTTTCCTGAATAATAATGAAAATCTTCATGGGAATTGAAATTTCCTGTGCATGGGTAATCATTGCTTGATCTGAAATATCTTTGAATGCTCAGATTGAAGCCTTTAAACTGACAGATCCCACATAAAAATCCCCAAAATACAGTCTCATTTCTGGGGATAATGAAAGCATTTTTGAGAAGACTGATGCCACTTGTTAGACTGGGGTTTTCATCATCTGGGAAATGTGGAGTATTTATAATATGGTCAATAAAAATGACGGGATCAGCTTCACGTGTTCTGCCCCATCCCAGTGCCTAACTGCAGTGGGTCACACAGATGTCCAGGCAGCAAGCAGAGATTCAGTTTTCAGTTTGTTTTCCTTCTCACATAGAGAATGAGAGCATACCAGTGAGATTATCTGCGACATTTGATGCACATTGCCCATGCCGGCTAGAAGCAGCCACAGCCAGAGGTGGTTAATAATCCCCCAAAAAAGGCTGAGAGAAACAGGAACTGTTTATATCAAATCGGAGTAAGGAGGGGAGACAGCCAGCAAGGCTCTACTGCTCTTGAGCTGTTGGTTAAAAGCCGTGAGAACAGGTTTTAAATTTTCAGTAGGATATCAAATTTTAAAAAATAGAAGTCTACATTTTTAATGGCTTGAATAACATTTCTTGCAAGTGACTGAGGATATGACCTAAATGGAGTCACTTCCTCTCCAAAGGGCTGTACCAGAGCCCCTTATCGAGGTAACAGCCTAGTGAGGGGCAGTTGCAGGATACCTCAGCATTTTGCAGCAGATGATGGCAATACAGAGCCATGCTGGCTGAATATTCAAGATGTTTTTTAGCTTGCATTGTAAATATTTGCTGCCAGTGATAATGCCGGTCATTACCCCCAAGCAATCATCTCAAATGTATAATTAGAGGCAATAAATCCCTCCCCTGGGCATGTGAAAATATATCAGGAAAACCCAAAGCTGCCGAAAGCAGCTCCCTGCGCATGTTTTCCAGCCAAAACAATTCTGCGATTTCGGAGTTGTAAGCTAGGCTTCTATGAATGGGCTACAAGGATTTTTGAACTTACACTTTCATTTTGGTTCACCATTTGAACTAATCGGAAAAGGACACTTTCTTTTTCCTGGTCAGCCAAGCCTTCTGCTACATCTGTCCCAAAGAACAGAGGCACGGCTATCAGAGCACAGCGTTAGACACTTGTGAGAGTAATTTTTAAAAGCATAGCCCCTACTCCAATGGGCTCTTCCAGAATTTTCCCCCTCAGAAAAAGATGTTTTTGTAGCTACTTCCGCAGTTGCTTGCCGTCTTTGTGCAGGTTAAAGGACAGACAGGGAGGGGTGGGAGGAAACGAAGGTTTATTTTTTTGATCCGTTCTTTTGGCTTGGTGAAAATTCCACCAAGTTCTAACTTCATCGTTAGTGGAAACTATTATTGTACCCGACCGAGCGGGCCAGAGCTCCCTGCCTGTTTGTTAGCCTTCAGGCTCACACAAACAGCAGCAGAAGCACAAGAGATGTTTGTTCCGCAGCTAGTCTGGCTAGTATAAATTCCATCTCCGAATGGAAAGTATTTTAATGTTATTTCGCCAGCTAGAGTTACCCGTATGTTAGGCCACACACATCCGTTTCATAACATACGCTACTCGCTGGCCTGAACTCTAAAGAGACCCTATTGCACCATCCAAGACGACTGACGCCCTTTGCACCACGAAGCAAGAGCCCCTAGGGGCAGGCACGTTTGCTCCTTGCACCTGAGGCTCGCTGGTCACTCTCCTGCCTCCCTGTGCTGGAAATACTCTGTTAATCCACCCGTCAGGGCAGCAGGGCTTGGCTCATACGGCAGTGATCACTCAGAAGGGGCTGCTGCTGCTGGTAGCACGACGCCTGGAGGGGGCAAAGCAAGAGAGGCTGAACACCACGCAGATCCCCACGGTGAAGGAGGAGGAGGAAAGACAAGATGTGGCAGAGAGGGAAGGAAAAACTGCAAGATGTTATCTTAACAGGCAGAAATACAGGGAAAAGAGGGCAGAGCAGCCTGGTGATGGCCCTGTCAGCACCAAGTATCAAGTGGGAGAACTGAACGAAGGTGCTGGTTGTGACTGGTGGCTCAACAAGACAACTGCGTCCAGGCTGAAACATTATATAAAATGAGGGCCCCTCTGGAGCAAAAATTAAGCCTACAATGATGAAAGCAAACGAAGGACTGGAGAACGCAGGAGTGCTGTCTCTGTTAGGCAGGGAGGAGCAAGTTGTGGAAAGTTAAAAAATAACAAACAGCTAATGATGACTCAGTGACCTGAGGGGAAAACTTCTGGCTTCTGGAGTACCATATATCAAGAATGGGGCAAGAAAATACTGATATTGCAGGCAGTCTGATGAATGCTGCTGACTGTAAAAAATAATAAAATTTTAAAAATGAGAGTTCTAGCTTTACAGAGTCTGAGACTGTTTTCTGTGGCAGAAGCAACTTTTTCAGCCAAATTGCCAGCAATTCAGTGTAGAACACTCACCTACTAGGTTCAAAAGTGGCAAAGTGAATGGATAGGAAGCAGGAACTATGGAGACCTTTTTTTTCTGAGCAGAAATTATCTAGCTTGCATTTCCAGAACACAAAATAAAACAGAAGATGGAGCTGTTCTGCCAAAGAAGATGAATGAGTGTATTGATACCATAGGATGATAAATACAAGATATACAACAACCAGGGCTGACAGTTTTGCAAGTTCATGTGATCTAGTGAGTGTGGCGCAATCGCAGACAACATTAAAAAGCCACAAGTCTGGAAATGCTGGGGCCTATAGAAGGACAACACTGTGGAAATGTACAGGACAGAGGGAGAGAGGAGGAGGCTAGGAGGAGGAAAAGGAGGAAGAAAAAAAAAAAAAAAAAAAGATCAACATGATTTCCTGAAGGAAAGGCCAAATATCTGAGGACATTATTTCAATTTCTAATCTAAAAGTGATGAAAGGAGTGGCCACTGAAAAATAATATTGAGTTAGAATTGACAGCTAATTAATTAGGGAAAAAAAAAGTCCACAAAAAGGGTGATAAGTTTGGATGAACGGAGTACCGGACTGTCTTACACAGTGCTGCCGAGCCTTTCACTGCTGCACTGTGTCACACCATGAAAACCTGAGATCTCTTTTGAGCCTGACAGGAGCATTGCAATCTACATTTACAAACCAGTTGGCTTGAGTACTGGAATATATACAGAACAGAAAAGCTGCCTGACACTTTAAAGTCTAAGGACGCATCATGAAACCAGCCACCCCCTTTTGCCCAGAAATAACAGCACATGGACTCGTTGTGGAATAAGCATTCGTTCGGAGGGATGGAAATTCCAGGACTCTCGTAAAACTGCACTTTTTAAACCAACAGGGTTACAGTCTCCAAAGTATTTCTGTATCCCTTCCTGCACAAGCACAACCTTCTTTCTTCAGAAAATAATCAGAACTACCTGCCAAGCTAAGCTCTGTAACAACCTCATGCGTGGTCAGGCTGGCCTGAGGGGCACGCATCGCCTTTAGCTGCCGAGATTCCCCATGTCCCACAACAGTGTAGGAGCAAAATGGGCAGCAAAAGGATGTTATTTCTAACCTGGACACATTGCCTGGGTTCTTTTGAGGTGGAAGAAAGGGACGGTACTATTTTCTTCAGGCTCAGAAGGATGCAGGTGTATCAGTACCAAACCTTTCTATGACGAGTATCTGTGAGACCAGCGATACCCCTGGGAAAAATTATTTCTTAAAGCGGGGAGATCAAAATATCTGAATCTAGCCTGCAGTTTCAGAGACACTGCTTTACAAATACACGTCTCACTTTTGGTAACTTACTCGAAAGGAAGTGAAAATCGGGTCTTTCTTCCTGGATCGCCGAGATGCAGGAAGAATTAGCTATGCATGCTACCCTGAATGCTAAGAAAACAAAACAACACGGCTAGGAAACACTCGGTCTGAGAAACAAACCTACAGCCACGAACCCAAACGGCCTGTTTCCTCTTGACGTGTTGCAGAGGACCCTGAGTGACAGTAAGGACAGCACGATTTGGCTGCAGACCAAAATTAAATAATATGCAGCATAGAGAACATTATATGAACAGCTATATGAAAGGGGCGCTTGCAGCCTGAAGTGCCGCAACAGGCAGGCTGCACCGACGTGCCGGGAGGGGAAGCGGCAGCGAAATCCACCCTCTGAACACAAGATGTGTGGTGCTCGGTGCCGGTGCGGAGGCTACCAGAACGCCAGATGCATTTGCGCTAGCAGCAACGCAAAGTTTCTCTCCCCAACTCAGTGGTTTTCTCAGTCTGCTTCTTCTTAAGAGATGCTTTGAAATCCGACTGCCCTTTGAAGTTTCTCAAGTACAGCATGACATTTATTTAAGGTACACCCCGAACTGTTTTCTTTCCAGATCCCATCCCCTCTCTCTCTCTCTCCCGAAACGTGTTTTCTCCATTTTCAGCGAGCCCCGCACGCCTCCCACGCGCGAGGGGCACCAAAATGGTGTCCCCCCCCCACCAAAAAAAAAAAAAAAAAAAAAAAAGGGCTCGCCCCATCACTCTCTCCCGACCACGGCCTTGCGTGACGGGAGCTGGCGGCACGTGGGCGGCTGCCGGGCACGCCGCCACCTCGGCGGGCTGACACCCCAGCCCGGCCAGAGGATCCCGTTTGATGGGGAGGCAGCGGGGGGAGAAGGCCCTGGTGTGCGGAGGCCGGCTGCTGACTAACCCAGGCCGCGCTCTCACGCAACCCCGCCGCCTGTCAATCTCCCCTCGCCTCTGACAGGGGCCTGGCGCCCGTTCAAACCCTTGCGTGCAAGCAGGCGGGCCGCCTTCCCCTGTGAAGTATTTCATAATAACAACAGCTGTTAAATATTGATGACTCCTGGCAAGCCCTGAATGCTTTTCATGAAGGTTAAGCCTTCGTGTAATGGAACCTAATTCCTCATTATGCGCTGTATCAGATATCTGGAAGTCGCCTAAAAAAAGCAAGGGGGCTTAAAGTACAGAATCAGAAAATAGCTCTCCCGCTTCAGGGAGGGGGGTGAAAACCAGCAACGTGAAAGGCAAGGAGTGTTTCTGTGAAGTAAAAGCCTTTCACAAACAGAAAAAAAAAAAAAAATGCTACAGGAGCAACGATCGAAGCAGTGGGTTTAGCTATATTCCCCCGGGTCATTTTGTGTTTTTATAAATAGCTGCAGATGAGGTAAATTTCGTAAGGCAGCAATCTGACTGTCACTGCTGTCTGTGTGCACATGGTAATTATTTTTTTCAGGAAAAAAAAAAACAGAAAAGAGGGAGAAAGATGGCTTCCCCGCAGCTTCTCTTATAGCATCAGTCTAGAGAGGCCTGGCACATGAGGCTGCTTCATGGCAATCAGGCGAGACATTGCGGTGATGACGGTGCACGTCCTGGGCTGCTCTCCTCTAGTCCCCAGAGAAATCCCCCCTGTGCCTCTCTCTGCCCTCTAAAGCTTCTCCCATGAGCCCAAACCCTTCAGCAAGGATGTCCCATCAGAGAGGGCATGTGTTCAGGTAGAGCTCGTGATGAATAAACCGAGCCTTTGGGATGGAGCTGGGGTGATGCCAGAGCAGGTAGTACCAGAGCACCAGCTAGAAGGTGGTATCAGAGCCTGGCTGGAGGTGAAAGAGAAGGAAGACACACCAAGGACTTCCTGGGGAGCTGAAAAAGTCAGATTATTTTTTTTCTCACGTTGCCTTTGGGGATAACCACTTTGACAAGGAAAGCTGAGGAGCTGAAAATAATTGTCCATGTATTTTCAGCTGTGCCAGGAGCTCTGTGAAGTTTCAGAACAATATTTTACCTGTGGGGACACCAGGCCTATTTAGTCAGCCGGGGTAGGGAATCACAAAAACATTGTAAGATTTAAGACGGAAGAGACCTCTGAAGGTTATCTGGTCGACTCCACCCTAACCGAAATAGAGCTAACTAGGGAGACAGGTTGCTCGGGGTTTTTGTTGAGTATCTCCAGTAATGGACATTTCATGTTCTTTCCAGGAAAACTTTCATTGCTTTATTACAAACAGAATTCATTTTGTAAGTGAGGTTCATGGCTGTAGGTGACCATTAGAATAAATTCTGTATGTTATGCTTGCCGTTTCCACAAATTCTGGTCTGTAAAATGTGCAGATCGCTTTAAGAAATGCTGAGAATGGTTAAGTGGTGGTCATGAAAAGTGTGTGTATGGAGAATGTGTGAATTACATTATCAGCTTGTCTTTTTTTTTCTTTTTTTTTTTCTTTTTTTGTGGTTTATTCTATCTGTATCTCACCAAACTAGCTCACAATAAACCACACTTGTGTTTTACGTTTTTATGTAGTCTGGGACTGTAACATCTCCCTTATCCCATAACTTCTGAGCAATCAGAGAACCAGAGAAAAACTGTGCCTCCATGCAAAGCCTAATTGTGTGATGCAAGCAACAGACTCAAAACAACTTGTCCAGAAAGCACATCTTTCTGTGGCTTACTGTTGCAACCTTTCTCTCTTCGTATGACTCGACAGATGATCTCCCCAACAGAAAACCCCACGTTGTGCATTGACAAAGTTGTTTTAGAAATCTGTTTGCATCACCCTGAGTAAATATTTGATTCATCATTTGGTCTGGTGGAATATATTGGCTATAAGACTAACAAAGACATACACTCCCTCCTGTATTATCCCAAGGTATAAGACTTATTCCAAGTAATTGTGTTCCATTTCATTTTCATAATTCCATTTGATTACCTACTGCTTTAAATGTGATGGGAACCTGCTGATTTATAGATTCGATCCTGAGGCCTTAAAGTTATCCCTGTATTATTCCATTCTTAGTTTAATTAAGCTGTAATACAGTTGCTTGCCTGAGTGTATATTTGCTTGCACACCCCTTTGAATAAATACATACAATATAAATTCTAAAGGGTTATTCTGTCAAAATACAAAATATATTGCAAGCCTGACTTCTAGGCAATCTCAAGTGAGAAATCTGCAATCCACTTAGTCAACTTTCACATCAGTACCCACAACCTTCATAAAAATTAAGATGATTCTAATTAATTTTTTTGCCCCTGAATGCTTGTGCTTGTAAATTATATGTTCATTAATCAGAATTGAGTTGCAAAGCATAAGTTTAATAAAGAAAAAAATATTAAGAGAATTCTTATGTATTTAGAGAAGATGCTTAACAATGGTTAGTTCCTGTGTTAAGGGCCTCAGAGTGTACAAACAATGTAATTTTATCTTTCTTTTGCTTTAGTTTCCATTACTCTGTGTTCTGCACTCTGAAATGCTGCACGTTAAGCCAATGTAGAGGTATTCAGACTTCACCAGCTAATCTACGTTAGACTTAAATGTACTACAGTGTGTTCTGACCTGCCACATCCTAATTGCTTGAGCAGAATCCCAGCAAGTCCCACTGATCCTGATATACTTACATATTAACATGTATAGCGTTTCAGGACACATTACTTCTAGTATCTATAGAGCAGATAGCCTAGCAAAAGGACTGGTGAAGTTTCCCAACTCTTCCAAGTGTCCTTCTTGATAGTTGTTATTTGAATAGCTGTTCGTCTTTGCCCTTGTCCACATATTAAAAAAAAAAAAAAAAAAAAAAAAGTACAGGGGAAAAGAAAAGCTTCTCTGTATCCTCTGAATTCTTGGCACTTTCTCTCTCTATAATCAAAGAATGTAGACCTCTTTTGATACGGATCATATTATTTCATTGTCCCAAGGCCATTTTTCTACTAGTTTTATTCTTTCAATGAAAATAATAAAATTATGGACATTGGGATCTATATTAGAGGCAGCTCCCTTTGAGGTCAGAGTGCAACTGTTTATTATAACTGTTTATTGAGCAAGACTAATCATTGCCTAAAAAATAAAAATAAACTTTCCTCCTTTTGGGGTAAACAACCTGCTGAAATAAATTTGACTCTGAAGTATTTTTTCAGAAGTATAAGTCATAAGAGAAGAATTCTTTTTTTTTTTTTTTTCTTGAAATGACAGCTAAGAAAAAGGTTGTATGTGGTCAGAAGTATGCTAGGTCAGAAGTATGCTACTACAGTTTACTAGAATCTTCCCCACTTAAAAAAAAAAAAAAAAAAAAAAAAAAGAAAAAAAGCAGCTCTAAGGGTGCATCTTATGGAAGAAATGCAATAAAGTCCTAGTAAAAGATTTATTTGGAGAATATCAGAACATTTTTAGTCTTTATCAGCTGCAGAAGATGTGCACCAGTTTACCCTCTTCAATTTAGATCTACTGTTTAGAACATTTAGTAAATCAATCCCTGAAGAATGAAATCAAATCAAAGGCCAAGCATGAAAATAAACGCAACTAGGAAAGTGTATGAGAAAGCGTCTCTCACCCTTCCTGATTAAATCAATCTGACAATGACTGACTTATGTGAAATTTGCATTATCTTTGCTTTCCTTTTTGGATTTGATAACCTGTTTCCAGCCCTATGTTTCAAACAGGCTATCTCCTGAGCTTCCACTCCTCAATATATCCTGCTTTTGTAACATCCCTGTCCCTTTATAATTTCATTTGCACCACTCTGCATGGAAAGGCACTGCCTAAATTCATACCTCCGAGAGGGAATTTAAGTCAGTATCTCTTAGAAAAGAGTTGAAAGAGCATATGTCAGTAGGCCAGTATATCACCCAAGAGACTGTTTAAAAATAGCCAAAGCACAAGATCTGGAGAGGATAAAGGAAACCTTTAAGATGAAATAAACATTGCATCTAAAATATTCACACTGAGACCTTAGTGCACAGGATGTGCATATGTTACCCAGAAAACCAAATCTGGCTTCATCACATTCAGAGTCAGAAGTGTCATAAGAGCAATTCCTTAATATCTGCCTTATATAGCAGCCATACTGTATCCAATATTAGAGGCAAAGGCACAGGCACATTTGCTTTCCAGTGCACTTTAAATACGCAAACACACTCGACAGAAGAAATGCAAGAATCTCCACCTTTCAGTCAGATGGAGACTGCAGCACACTGCTGCACCAGCACCGATAAATATACACCACACAATAGGGCTCTCTTTCTAAGGCAGAGCTGAAATGCTGTCAGCTTCACTGCTGTCTGTTGAGACTGCCATGATGGGACTGAGTGTGTGAAGAGCTGCCTTCAGAGGTTCAATGGACCTAACAAGTGCAAAAAATATGCCTGAGAGGAGCTCTCCTGTTTTTTTTTTCCCCTAGTTTTGTTTTTTCTCCCTCAAGAAGTAAAAAAAGGGGTTGAGACATGGTTAGGGCAAATGAATACCAGGAAAATGAGTATCTTAATAAATAAAAAAAAAAAAATCAGAATTAATTTTCCAGATAATATTAAAATAGTTAAATATTTTCCAGAAGTTTTTAGATGATTGAGGAAAATTAGTAACATGAAAATTTTACCTAAAAGTTACAAATTAAGTACAAGGCAATAACTAAAGTCAAAAACTGAAGGACGTACCAGAACACTAAATTGGTAATGTTACGATTCCTGGATATGTTTATTGTGTTTTTATGCACACTAATACTTTAATGCACGCATTTAAAGTCCAGTCCTGTAAAGTTATCCAAACAGATGGACCTTGCTCCCAACTGGAATCACTTGTAAGTCAGAGGGACTGCAGGGAGGACATTATGGTTTGTCCAAAAATAAATTGTTTTGCAGAACAGGAACCTTCGCACATGATGTGTTCAATTACTACAAGAACCTTCATTTTTCACTTCCTCACCACCGTTTTGCTTTGTCTCTTTTCACAGGCAGGTTCCTTGCTCAGAAAGAAGATCTTCAGCAGAACCTGAAGACCCTAAGAGGGCCAGTAGTGTGCTGACATATTCTCTCCCTGTTAAGACTAGAGAAACTAAATTTTAAAAAATGCCACAGTCCCTGCGTCAATGGCCAGAATTAGGACCTCCAAAATTTCTAAGCATAATGAAAAATGCCATCTTTAAAAGAGACAGAAAGAGATTGGAAAGCTCTAGAAATGTAAATTGTGGTTCTGCTTTGATTTGCCTTTTAATTTTTAAACAGAAAATTCTTAGATATGGAGATAAAATTAAAAGGCTGTCACACAGTTCTTATCAGACTTGTCCCATGAGAAGACAAGGAACGGCCAAACAATGTTCTGTTTTTCAGAAACAAAGTTCTAGCTAATAAAATATAACCCTTTCTCCAGTTTCAACTCTTCTGCATGTTTGTCATTAACTTGAACAGGCAAGTCTGACTCCTGTGAAAGTGTCTTGACTCACGGCAAGCCACCGAAGAAATAACAAGTATTCCTTATGGGAGTAAGGGCAGGAAACCTGTCTCCTTCTCAAAAAATATATATGGGATTGTGGCCTCAACTTTCAAGAAAATTATAGTTAAATACAACTTTCACCAAGCCATCAATACAACTTTCACCAAGCCATCAATAATAGGTGAATAGTATATGTAAAGAGAATGATGATACAGATATTGGTTCTAGTGCTCATTCTTCTTATTCTGTCAAGGTCTTCTGAATGAAACTGGTGATTTCCTACCTACTGACTCATCAGATCTGTTTTACACTCATTAGCTAACATAAACATCACTTTATACTGGTTTTTCTTCAGTTCTAATGTGATTTCCATTGGATGTACACTGAGACTTGCTGCCAGAATGGGTCTAATAACCCTTGAGACACAACTTATCAGCACTATGACAAGGAAAATACGAATTGGCTTAAGGCAGAAAATGAACACTGCAAGCTGCAGAGAGCAAAAGCAAAAAAAAAAAAAAAAAAAAAAAAAAAGCTTTCATGCATAGTCTTTAAAACTGTGAAAATTAAATGAAGAAAATCTGTACTCTAGACCCTAATTTGTGCTTAAACCACGTAGTTTTAAGAGGAGTCATCAAAGGCTTCGTTTATGAATGCTGCATCCCAAAGAGGCTTCTCAGTGGCGAGCGAGCATTTTTCCTCCTGTCGGGGCAGAGTCGCAGGGAGGAGGCTCATTTGTGCATTGCCGGTCTCGCAGGCAGCAGAGCTCTATTCCTCTGATCAAGAGATCACTTTCATAACCACTTTTCTGAGGTCACAAATGAGTCTGCTGCAGTCACGCAATCCCTTGCCTACCAGAGTTTACTATAACAATACAGGTTCACGAAAACCTTTTAAAGAGGCAGCACATCCTTTCCCCCAGCACAGATGCACGGCGCGCACACGTTATCACACGGGCTTAACCGAAACGTGTCATGGGACTGCTATATTTCAGCTCCCAGTAGGGAAATAAATGTATTGCTTGGGGTATTATCTGGGTGGAAGAACGCTCCCTGAGTAAAATTAAATAAAAGATTATGATAGTTAGCGCCAGAATTATTTTAAAGTATACAGGCACCTTTTTCAAATATTTATTCAGCCCGTTCCTTTTTATTATCTTAAGGGTCCGTGTCTGCCAACCATGTGCTACTGTGAATTATGCTAATTAAGATATTTGAAAGCCATGGCAAACAGTGAAACAAACATTAGATTAAATAAACAGCAGATAATGATTGCCCTGAACTAAACATTTGCTGCCGCCTAGTTAGAAGCAGCAATGATACCGAAATGTACAACCAGGAAACGGGTTTACTATCCGAAGAAATACTAGGAACATAAAACGAGTACTAGTGTGAGCATGTTTGTAGGACAGAAAAGCCCATTGCATATTTTAGCTGAGAGTATCCCACAACTGACCAACCTCCCAACCTGTTTTCATGGAAGAGGCATGCAGGTAGTAGCTGGAATGGCCTCTGGTGATGGGGGCAGGGGAGAATTTAAATTAAAAAATATAGGTATTAAAGTATTTTTTCTTGTTACGGTGAGTTACCTCTACCCAAAGAATGGGAGTTGGCCTGTTTTCACAACCAGTTAGCACTAGGAAAACAACTGTTGTTGTTCCATCAGGAGTTATTTGCATTAATGTAAAGTTTTCAAAAGCTTCTAAATTACTCTGGAGCCTGCAACTTCAGAGCTGAAGTTGGACGTATCGCTCGTTGACTTTTGGGGAGGATTAGCATCCAGACACATTTCATTTACAGGTAGCACAAACAGGCTTGCCCAAACCAGCTTTGTAATCCAGCTTAAATAAGGAACAACAGCAAGGAGGGCACAGCGTTAAGCCCATGGAGGGCTCACGGATGGGCTGGGATGACTCGTTTGCACGCTGCCTTGTGAGTTCGTTGCTATTATTAGCCACGCCAGCCAGATTAAAGCTAGATCAGGTACACCCACACGTGCTACGCAGCCAGCTTCAGGGACTCTGGAGATGTACCCACAGGTCGTGCAGAGCCCTTGCTTTGTCCAGAGATATTCAGGCTTGACCTTGATGCGTATCTCCATCCGGCTCGAGCACTGAAGTCCCCTCCCATCTGCACTAGAGCTAGCAGTTTACACAGAAGACAGCCTCATGGTGTAGCTTTGATACGAACTTCATGCCTCCTCAAAATCAGCCTCGTCTCCGCTCCTGGCCCTGCCTGTACTCTGTGAAAGGGAAGTTGGGGCATGCTCCGATGCTGAGTACCATCAGGAGGTGGTAAGATAGACTGTGATCTATACACGGGGGGTGTTGACAGCCTCCAGAGTGACTTCGAGGGTAACAGTATCACTGCAGACAAGGCTGGAGGCATTTTCAAAAGCAGGCCGCAGTTTCAAAAATTTCTGAAACTTACTGAAGAGGTTCCCCCCGGTCTTAAGTTACTGGTTTGTTCCAATTCCCTAACACAACTTCCCATGGAAAGGAAAACTATACAAGGTCAACTTCTGCCTAAACAAAGAGATGTGACTTTGCCCCTCTTTATAAAATTTGCCTAAACCACAAGTTAATCTAAAATGAAATAGCCCTGGATAATAATGTAAGTATTTAATTAACATGGCAATTTTTCCTTTGTAGTTATGGAAAGAGATACATGAGAATACTGTTGTGTTACTTTACCTTTACAAACAAATTATCCTGTTCTTCTGGAGGCAGTTGGCAAAAAGATCATTGGTAACAGCAGGAATGAATATACATATGGGTATTTCAGGGCAAACAGCTGCTCGAATATTTGCTGCTCAGCACTGCTCTGTACAGCGGTCTGGCTGCAGAGCTCGTACCTAAAATGCCTGTGTTACTGACAGTCCTTTATATTATTTGCTATATGAAAATAAAATATTTGTAATCTTTTTTTCAAGAATACAACCTCTTTTGTTCAAATACGGTATGGACAATTGCTCTAATTTTCAGCGAGATATAGGAAGGTGTCTAATGAACGTCCCCAAGTACCTTTGGACCTGCAATTCTAGAGAAGGAATTGTCAATAATTTAGTATACGGAAATCAGCATAAACAATGACCTTCATTATGCCAATTTCCAAATAATTCCTCCCTTTCCTCATTCCCTACACAGCTCTGAAAAGTTGCCTCCGACAGCCAATGATCTGTACATTACCTATATACCTGAGAGAACACGGAGGCAGAGGTTTGGATTAGCTGCAAATCTGCCTTTAAACTCCCCTTTTTTCAGTCCTTTTGCAAAATTTATTTCATTTGAAAATTATCCAGAGAAATGTAATCCAACTCACTTACGCTCCCGCTAATAATCCAAAATCAAACGATTTCAGATTAGTGTAATACAAATCGTTATTTAATACATAAATTGACTTTAAATAGCTACTAAGAGATATTCCTTCATTAGAAATAAGTTTAAGTACTGTGAGAAATTACAGTAATTATAATCAAGCTTTAAGGATTTCTGAGTAACTCAGTTACAAAAATTACATCAAGCATGCTCAGGAGAGAGCTGCCACCCTCTTCCCCTTCCTGCTGCCCCAAGATGCCATCCATACTTGGTGCTCAGCTGCCTTTCTACCACAGCCCAGTGCTTCCCAGCCTTTTTTTTTTTTTTTTTTTTTTTTTTCTGGCAGTGGAGTGAAAAAGTGTTCTTCTAGAGCAGCGTGAATGATGTTCTAGCTTAGACAGGACTGCTGAAAGATATATCCAAGTAGCAGGCAGATTAAAGAAGACAGCAAATAGTGCAGCTGCAGAAAGAAGTTTAAGGTGAGTTAGGGCTGCGGCTGAGCCTTCCGCACGTGGCTGGGCAGACGGCGTGCCCCAGCACTGCTCTGCCTCTGCTCGGCGTGCAAAATGAGAGCAGGATCTGGAGTGCCTAACCGAAATGCTCTGTGACGGTCAAGGCAGCACAGCTGGGAGTCAGCAGAGTCAAGGCAGGACCGGGGGCAGGCTGGGAAGCGGGCAGCCGGAGCATTCTTATGCCTCATGCATTTTCCACTGCCCAGATGTTCCACAGTCGCCACCAGTTGTGAGAGGCTGGATGCGCCAGTCCCCGAGGGTGTTCTGACCCCTGGGAAGCGCTAAAGAGGCCCAGGCCTGGCCAACATCGAGGAGGCACAAAGGTATTTTGAAGCGCTGATCGTCTCTTCTCCCACTCAGTCCCCGTGCCAAGTTTAGCTGTGGTGCAGGAATTCAGCTGTGGTGCAAGATTCATTTTGTACTTTAACCCAATGAGCTAAAATACCATCTGAGACCAACATGTAGTTAATTGCTGTGAGAACAAAACTTTGAATTTCCTGACCTATTCAAAGTTTGAATTTCCCATTAACTCCACGCTCCCATACTACCAGATGGTATACAGGACGTAGTTTCCAAAACTCCCCGCGTTGGAGCGTAAGCAAAGAGAACGAAACGAGCTGAACCTCAAACCCCTGGAAACCTGCTCTTTGTACACGGAATGGCAAGCTCCTAAACAAAACGACGAACGTGCCCATGCAACCCCCCCTTTCATGCCGATAATCCTTCTGATGGAAACTCTTGCACCAAAGCCATCGCTGCATGGGGAGCTGGAAAAGCACTGGTTAGCACAGCTGACTCATCCGCTGACTAGCCCACAGCATCAGCCACAAAGGACCAAGAATGCTGGTGGTGGCATGAAGCGTGTGGGTGGGAGCAAGGAATAAGCAATCATCTGGCAGCCTAATGCAGGAGGGAGGGTTGACAACAATCATTATTTATTCCCCCCTCCCGCCCTAAGGCTCCATCCCTCTGCTGCAGTGATTCTCATCATCTTGACGCTGTGGTAGGGCTCTATGCAGGGGAGGGAATGAAAGGTACATCCCCTCCCTGTGGCCCATGCAATGAAAGCATCAGCTGGCTATCGGATCTTGCCGCGCCCAGACCACATAGGGCAA